TCTTCCATGTAGATGTTTGCCACAATCGGGGATACCGGTGAGCCCATGGCACAGCCATGCTTCTGTCTGTAGAATCCACTGTTGTACTGGAAGTAGGTGGTGTTTAGACAGAGGTCACAGTAGTAGTCTTAACGACTGTAACGACTGTCGTCACAGCAACAAGGAACACTAACGAACCAGCGGTATCGATGACCCGGGCCAACGACCCCACTGAGGTTAAATAGCTGAGTTTCCCTGCCAGTCAGTCAGAACTGAAGAAGTCCTTTGGATGAGGGACGAAACGTCTTCCAGTATCTTCAACCAAGTCCAGTTGCCCTTGATTTTAACCTTCGTTGGATAACTATGACCTGGATGACTGAGAATCTTCATAGACAAATTTGATTCTGATTTAAGTCAATTCTGTCTACTTAGCACTTATCGTGCCAGTGTAGCAACAAAGCAGACTGTATATCGATTCAATAATTCAACTAGTAACAGTTTCTTTTTTTACAGGCACTTTTGATTTATTCTATCAAAATAGGGCGATATCTCCGTCCATGCAGCTAGCCACATCAATTCACGGAAAAACATAACGTTGTTGAGTAGTTAAGAGTATAGGAGAGCCGGGACGATTGAAATGCGGGACGAATGAAACACAGCGATTTTCTCAGAGCCCATACAAATCTGATATGCTAAACTACCTCAGCACATACAGTCCACAGTACTTAACAGAACCAGTAAAAATCAGGTGGATACGTCACACTTTCACGGAGATATACGAAAGAAGCTGTTTTCAATCACGGAACGTGATCATTTTTTTTGAAAGAGTGTTTATTGTTTCATGTGTCATGGTCATGATCATATGAAAGATTAGTTAGTACTTTAACTAGTGTTGGAGTACTCGAGTACTGAATCTTAAGACCACTTTTCTTCTCTTGGTCTTGTCGCGGTCTCGGACATTGAGGACTCGGGATTTTATTTCAAGACCAGTCAAGACCATAACTTTGGGAACATCAATAAATTGCTTTTGCATTGTCTGATTTATTTGTTAACATCCTAACTTTATTGGATGTAAAATGTATTGCTTCAAATGCAACCAATAACCCTCATTAAAAATGTGTTGTTCCTGTTAACAACTGTCACCCCTTCCCGTGATGGTAAACATGGAAAAGGAGTGTTGAATAAAGATGTTTACGTTGATTTCAGCTGTGGGCGTTTTTGTGGGAATCTGGATATTTCAGATCAATTTGAGAAGTACCTATGATCACATTTCACATTTTAGTGTGTGTCATATAATGTGGGGGAACTGGTCTTGGGCTTGACTCAACTTCTGGTCTCAACTTGGTCTCAGCACCTAAAAGTCTTGGTCTTGTCTCGGTCTCGATAAACCCTGTTCTTGGTCGGTCTTGACTACAACACTAACTTTAACACATCCTGAAGTTCTAAATGTCAAGTTTTACAGTTTAGAAGCTAGTGAAGTTTAAATGTCAGGAGTCACAGATGTTTCAATCGTCCCGACACGTAGCCATTCTACCCTACTTAGATACGGCGGGCGGGGGGGCAGAGTCCACTAGGCTGCAGGCTGGACCACCAGGATACTCACAGCCAAATAACAGGATCTTCACAGTAGACCAGGAAAACAGGCTGCAGATGTACATAAAAAAGGGCAGCCAATATCTAATCCAAATCTGCATTTGCTGTTGGATTTTCTAGTTGGCTAGCTAAGTTATATTTATACTATTTTTTTGTTAAGAAAGAAAAGCACATAGGCCTAATGAGTTTGCAATTATGTATTAAGAAGGGCAGTGTCAAGCTTTCTAAATAAAAACAAGAATAACATAAACTATTTAAATGTATACGTTGTGTTTCATCCGTCCCGCACAGTAGGGACAGATGAAACAATGCGCACATTTCGTTCAAAGTGAAATTATACTGTAGTCGTTCCACATTTTAACAAGATAACACCTGGTATGTGTTCTAAAAATAGAACACACACGTGAGTTGTTGATGACAACAACAAATGATTTCTGTCTGTAATGTTATATTTTCAAATGATATCTGAAAAGTGTTTCAATCATCCCGGCTCTCCCCTATAGCTTAGCCTCTCTTCCAGTCTTCTTAAAAAAAACACAAACACTTCTCATTCATAATTTCCCTTTGAAGTATAATATACTATGTCATTTTATTGCTATCAGCTGAATTTAACATGAAATTGGACTGCAGTTATAATTTGAGCTTCATGGGGATCTATAGTATAATGAAGGTTACCAGTGGAGATTAATAAATAATTAAATAATAACCTAAGCCTAGACAGGCGTGTTCATTACGTGGTCCAATACTTTCTCACACATACAGCAGCACACTACTTGCCCCAGATGTCTGCAATATTGCAACAAACTTTAAGTTTAAAAAGCCTGAAATAACCCAATAAAGACTACTGCTCAAGGAGAGACCACAAATCTGCCCCGGTATCATATTAATGATTATATTTAATTATAATTATTAATCATGTTGTAATACATGATTAACATTGTTCATTCAACATAGTTCATTGGGAAAACTTGTTTATTTTCCCTGTTTAGAAATTAATGTAAATAATCATTTACAATACAGGTGTGATTAAAAATAGTTGTTGGTAAATTAATTAGTGACCGCCATAGATGCATGATTTTACTGCTTCCATAAAAGCTCAGACCCTCCTTATGAGAGCTGAGCTCCTATGTAACTAGAACCCTACTGGACTAACGTTATATGGACTACAGCTTGTGGACTATCAAACTGTAACATCTGTAAAAATTAACACACATGTAATACAACATGTATACCTGTATCAATAATTCTGTAAATACACTGCATACACAAAGATTACACAGTTAGAAAAGGAGCTAGCAGCAGTGACTTATTTGCATTATCCAAAACATAAAAAAAAAGTCTGAATGCGTGGCTCTTGGCATGTTCCATCAAAATAGCTACCACTATCAATATTTGTAAATCTAAATCACGCAAATTAGGATATGCCAACAGTGGCTATGGTGAGCCCCCGAAGATCTATGGGAGGAGGAGTTTTTTTCTGGGGATAACATAAGCTAACTATTCATATAACTGTGTGTGTGTGTGTTAGATCTCTCCCTGCTCCAAAACAGCTGATTCAAACTATCAAATTGTTATGAACCCGAAGCTGCTTAAATCAGCTGTGTTGAAGCAGGGAAAGATTAAATCATGATGGACAAAGGGTAACTTTCTCCAGGAGAGGGATGGGAAACACTGTCATAGTAACGTTACAAAAAGTGTGAAAACAGCAACACAGAACAGTCTAAACCAGTGGTCGGCAATAGGCGGCCCGAGGGCCTGATTGCTGGCGGGCCTTCAGATTGCTTTGATAGCAGAAAAAAAATAAATAAATAAATTGATAACGGCTGATGCTTAAATAGATCTCAGTCATGACAGCAACAGTTACTCACATAACCACTTTCTCTTAAGAGATTGTGCCTCTAAAATAAAAGCGCAAGAACGTCTTTTGCAGCAATGCTTCATGTCGGGTTTATTAAGAGCTTTTACTTTGAAGAGTTCTGAAAGACAATTCAAAAGAGTCTCTGGCCTGCCTGACACACCTCTGAAAAAGCCGTCAGTAATTGTGTGATTGGATTCCCCTGAATTTTCTCAGGGAAATGAAAATAAGTGTCCACAGGTTTATGAATGCGGATCAAATGCCGGAACGCGCACACACTACGGCACATGCTTTATGTGAGCATGTGCAAAAGTGTCCTTTTATTCAATTTGTTTGACAAGGGAGAAAAAAATATTCGCAATAAGATGGGATCAATCTCTCTACCTCCCCATGGGGAGTCCCGCACAATACCAACTGAGCTAATCACGCACATGATTTTGTGTGGTTTGACTTTGTTCCTGTCCCACTATATAACGGCTTGGAAAAATTTGGCCCGATGCCAGACTTATTTGTCAACCCCTGGTCTCAACGAAATCTTTATTTTATCTTCTTCTGGACAAATAACTAACCTGAGCGTCATAGTCAACATATTAAGACAAATGCAGACCTATGCCCATACTAAATGCTTTACAATGTTTCATAAAGCCAAACACACATATATTATCCAAAGAAAAAAAGCTAATTCTACCATACTACTTCAGTAGCTAACGCTAATCGCTGTTGGCGTAGCCTGTACATTATTTATAGCGGTAGCTATTTTGACAGCAAACACATACCAAGATCAATGCATTCACACTTTTCTTATTGTTTTGGATAATGCTAACCAGTCACCTACCGCTGTCACAATGTGTAGAGTAGCGAAGAAACTGAGAATGCATCAAGTTATGTCCTGTGGGGGCCAAAAACCCTCCCAAATAGTCTGTTATTTATGGTTATTTCCTGCCCTGACAGTGGAGCTCACTTCAGAGTGGAGCCTGCACCGGAAGCGACTCCACAGTGGAGGTCTGTAGTTAGACCCCTCTTAATAATTGACATGTTAAATCCCATTTGTTGACTCTGTACAAAAGTGTAAAACTGACCTAGTCACTGTCGGACTCTGTGGGAAGTGATTGTCCCTGGCCAAGAAATAGTGACATTGACATGTCACATTACTGTGCACATGAGCACTGCCTGTCAACTCACTCAAGCGTGGAAAGACAGGGGGGCAGAGTTGATTTAACAGTAGGCAAACTGAAATGATGAAGAAGGTTCAAGTACCAACAGCAGCACCAAATGCTGCAGTAGTTTATCAGTATAATGGTTCTGACGAGTCAGGAACCAGTACCAGTCCCTTGTATTAATTCATACTCCTCTGTCAGCTTCAGCTGCTGAATTCACACCCCACCTGTGGTCCTACACCTGCCATAGATGCTTATGTGATCTCTGCTTGTCACCCTGTTCACTACTTTGTCTACAACAGTGACTACATTGCTGATTTTCCAATTTTGTAATAATGGTATATCTTGAATAGGGTAATAAGAAAGCCTTCAGAACATTATATAGGATTGTATATAATAGGGTTTTGTGGCCTGACCTGTGAATCAATTACAAAGATTAGTGCTCCGGTTCCTCTGAAGATCATTTCATAGTCAAAGGTGGGGTCAAAGAAGTCAATCTGGCCAGGGAAGTCCCAGATCTGGAAGCTGACGAAGGAGCTGCTGGAGACATCCTCTCTGCAGATCTTATTGGTGCTCTCCAGGAACAGGGTCTCACTGGGTGACATTTTATGGAAAACCACCTTCTGGATGGAAGATTTCCCACTTCTCCGCAGGCCCATCAATAGTATACGAGGTTTGACCTCTCCATTCAGAGAATCACTGACGTCCAACACTACACAACAACAAAGGGACAGAGGCACTGTAAATTACTATTACACTGTAAGAAATATTTAATGGTGAATTATATGAAACTTTTGATCATCCATCCATCCATCATCAACCGCTTATCCTGCATACACAGGGGGGCTGGAGCCAATCCCAGCTTACATTGGGCGAAAGGCGGGGTACACCCTGGACAGGTCGCCAGTCCATCACAGGGCCACACATAGACAAAAAACCACTCACGCTCACATCCACACCTAAGGACAATTTTAGAGACACCAATTAACCTAGCCTCTTTGGATGGTGGGAGGAAGCTGGAGCACCCTGCATTCTGATGAATTTTTCTGCACCAGTTTACGGTGATTTTATAAAGAGAAAAACAAAATTCAGTTAATATCATCCCTGCTGAGTCATGATTTAGTCTTTCGTCCTCTTTGTTTATGTTTGGGGAAGTAACCTCTTTAAATGTCATTGTGGCACCTTTTCACCTCAATGATAAATTATTTAGTTATAAACTCCAGGACAGTTATAAGCTCCTGTGTTTCAGAATTTTCTGCACATTCAGAATCTCTACATACCTGTGTTCTCTGACATGTCCAGAAAAAAGTTATTAGTCTAACTTCATCATTTAATGAGAGGTCTACCTGCCCTTTACTCTGCTGTGCATTACGTTATAGATCCGCTGGTAGTAACATTATCCCCTACATACCGTTTGACCAGTTGACGCAGTTTCACAGCAAAATCGGTAGTGTGAATGGGAGTTAATTTTACAGTGAAAATTATTCTGAGTTGATAGGAGTTGACTTGGGTGTGATTTTGACCACTGGCAGTGCTTAAACAGCTCTGGGGGCGGTGCCTTTTCAGCGAGTTGAGTGACGGTGTTAATTGCACATCCGTTTTTTTCACGGTCATTTTCGTGGATGCACAGTGACAGAGAAGAAACCCAAGTGTCTGCAATATACTCTTTTAAATGGTAAGAACAAGTATATTTACTTATACTGACCATTATTCGCTATATATATTGTGAATTAACATCGAGTGGGGTGTGTTTTTGAAGCTGGTAACGTCAGATACCAGCTAATATTAATTTAGTTTAGTGCTTAACAAGCAGTTAATGATGGTCAGTTAACGTAATAACAATAGTGGCATGTTACCATGACATTTAGGATATCCAAATAAACTCAAATAAATACTGTGCAATCAATTTTAGCAGGTTTAGCTGCTTTCGGCAAATACTAGCGCTTAAAACTTTAGGCTGACCACGGTAATTAGTTGGCAGACTGGCACCAAAAAAAGTTTGTGACTAGTGGTGAGGTTAAACAATTGTTAGAGGCCGTTTCTAGCTAATTTTGATACCTAGCAAACAGAAGCTTTCCAGGCCCAGGTTTAAGAGAACGAATAACATTTTAACAGTAAGTTATTTGTTTTACCAGAATTTGCTGCAAATACTATGACATCATCAGTGTTTCCCATTAGGGCTGAAACAATTCATCGATGAAATCGATTACTAAATTGCATCGATGCAAATTCTTTGTGTTGACGCTTCGTTAAATAACTACAACGCACAATGTTTTGCACGGACATGTATTACTGTCGCACATCGCGCTTACACGGTGAACACGACATGATTATGATGTCGCTGTTTGCAAAGTGGAGGAGGAGAGAGAAAATAGCGAGGGACAAAGAAGAAAGTGTCCCAAGTCTTGGATTATTTCAAGCTAAAAGAAAACAACAACTCTGTAATGTTGCAGTCCGTCCACCGTAAAACGAAACTTGTCGCATCGGCAACAGCACGACGGTGTTGTGCCGAATTCTGCCAGCCTGCCGGGAATTGCATGCACCTCGCGGCTGGTAACGCTCATTTAAGCTGGGTAAAGAGGTGGATGCAAATCTTGGCAGGTAGCCTACAACATCTGTCCTGCCGAATTATGCATCCATGTCTTAAGGTCCTTTTCAGACACTTTGCTGTGCTCATACATCAAACGTGGAAATGACGACATCTTTAAGCTGAATCTCAATGATTGCTACTTCTACTAAGTGTATTAAAATATTAACGACTCTAAATGTTGAAAAAATATATACTTCGAATCATTTATCACAATTGATGAACCCCACGAAGGATATTATAGCGCTTAAAAGCAGTATTTGGAGGTGCATGCAATTGTCGGCAGACATGCAAAACTTGGCATAACACCAGCACCTGATCAAAGCACCCGGTGTTCTGCCAGCAGACCACAGACAAGTGGTCAACAGTAACAGCAACTTTAGCATTTAACTGTCAATGTGGGAGACACACCTTAAAAAAGGTTATTAGCCAGCATGTAAGGAGCCTAGCTAATAAGGATAGCTATGTTAACACTAGAATACAGCTGGGTTGTTGAGGTTGGCACGCTGGTAGTCAATATTGACTGCACGCAGGAATTTAATCATGCCTTTCAGAATTAATAACGTTAGTATAATAGCTTTGTTTGGAGGACTTAAAATAGTCTTTTTACTATAATATTTTGGCTACATGGCTTGATTTAAAATTCTGTTAATTCTTTGCACCTGAGAAAACAATACAGGTAGTTCTTTCCATTTTCTGCAGTTTCTTTATGATGTCATCATGCTGCTGAAGGTGAAATACCAGACTGCCAAGAAGTACATCAGATTACAGTCAGGTTTCACTTATTTGGAGTTTGTCAACGAATGCAAGTAGCTATCTTGTGTAACAAAATGAAAGTACAAGCTTTAAGGCTTTTTTAAACTGTCCTCATGATAGTTCATGTTGGCGTCAGATTTAGTGAAAATAGAGCTGTGTGCTTCTTGCCACAGGCCTTTTTCTTCTTACACTGAAAATACAGGCACTTCAAAATTAATGTAAAACTCTTGCTGTTACTTCGTGAGACAGTTTTAAGAATCCCCTTATCTGCATTGTCTTGCTTCCTTTGGTATGTGTCTTAAAATTAAAGCGTTGCAACCCCTGGCAAGTGACATTTAATTTGGAAACTAAACTTCAGTACCTCAGACAAAAAAAGTGCTGTTTTGTCTTGTACACTGTAATGTTTGCTAATGACCAATATAAACATCATGATCCAGCTGTTTTGACAATGTCACATCAGTTTTAGAGATAAATTGGTTGAGAAGTCAGTGATTTGTTGTAGTTTAAAACCTACTTCATATATATTTATCATGTATCTTGCTTGTTTTCCTGTAGTCAAAATCAGGTTTGGGCTTCCCGATGCTGCTGAACTTCATATTTTTGATGAAACTGACACTGCAGTGGAGGAAGACATCCTTCTTGAACTAACAGAGACCAATCCTGACTTATGCCTGACAGTACGTGACAGCATTTCAGATGAAGGTTGGTGTCATTGTTAAATCCGCTGTAATTATTGCTGGGGGGTTTTTCTGTTGAAAAAGTCTAGGTGAGACCTCTTTATGTCTCTGAATTTCTGACTACTGTTACAAAGTAACATCCAACTGCAAAAAAAGTTTGAAAATGTTGGTTTGGTTGTGATTGTCCCACACAGACTCACAGTTTGCTCTAGCAGGTCACTCTTGTACTGGATATATTTTTGTAATGTTTTACTTATTTACTAAGACTTTTCCCCTTCAGGTGATTCAACATCATCTTCCCAAACTGACACCATTTCACTTTCGTCAAGTGACAATGACCACTCCAGCCAAAGAGAATGGGGGATTCCCATAGGCAGAATTACATCCAGCTCTGAAGTCCTAAACCATTCTACAGAGCTTTCGGAGTCAGAGGCTGCAAAAGAGGTACTTGATAGCAGGAGATGTTTACAATTTTGACTTATAACATCATCAATTAAGTGTGTCTGGATTAAGTCCGACGCTCCTGTTTTACGCATGATCCATGATGATATGGAAGATCATTCACAATTTTTAATGTCACAATGCTCTCAATTTTGTGACTCACTTCTGACACAGCCTCTGACTAAGACACATAACCAAAGGAAGCAAGACAATGCAGATAAGGGGATTCTTAAAACTGTCTCACTAAGTAACAGCAAGAGTTTTACATTAATTTTGAAGTGCCTGTATTTTCAGTGTAAGAAGAAAAAGGCTTGTGGCAAGAAGCACACAGCTCTATTTTCACTAAATCTGATGCCAACATGAACTATCATGAGGACAGTTTAAAAAAAGCCTTGAAAGACAGAGAGAATTCCCTGAAGCACTGCACCCGGAGACAGCTTGTCAACATACTGGCTAACCATATGACTGAGATGCATGGGTAAGTGTTCCTAAACATTTAAAAAAGTTTGAGACTGCAAGGGTTATTATGGGAATGGTATGGGAGGAAATTTCTAAATACTAAGCATTTAATTAACATATATGGGGTCCTATATTCATCCTGGAGCATATCAATTTTATGTGTTTGTATTGTGTTTGCTTTAAAGGAGGATTCCCGCTTTTTCCCTCGCTGAAGGATCCTTTCTCTCCAAAGGGCTATCTAAGTTTTTTTTTTTTTTTTTTGTTATATTTGGTTAAATGGGCACACAATAGTACTGCTGAAACTGTGACGTATGTTAGAAAATTCAATGAATCATTTATATATATATATACACACATATATGAATATTTACTCAAGTAGACCTTTGTAATTTGCAAATGACAAGAGCACTTCTATGATGGGGAAAAAGGTACAGGATATTTAGCGTAGCGACTTAAGACCATGACCAGGAATAAATGTCAACAGCCAGTCAAGGCAACCACTGAGCCTGAAGCACAAGGACCAAAACGGCGAAGATTAGCAGCCGCAGCACCTCAGCAGCATGATTGAGACGCCTGCCGGGAGGCTATACCATTCCTTGTTCACTGTCCTGATGAAGGTGGTGTGTTTCAAAAGATGAAGGTGACCTTCCAACATCGCCAGGAACTAGTGAATGATCCGCAGAAAACCACAGATGTCAAAGGACTAGTGAATTAAGCATATTTTATTTAAGCTCCAGTCTGTGACTTTGTTGGTTGTAAGCAGTCAACAATGCACTCACTATTGATTCCATG